CTTTTATTCCACAGTTCTGAAGAACTGCTTCTGTTTTCTCAAATGTTTAAATGTAATGGTACAAGTAGCCTCCCTATCCTGTTAAATGAAAAAAGAAGGGAGAAGGGAGAATCAAAAACCCCTGAGGGAGAGTAAACGCAGCTGTAAAAGGCCAAAGCACCCTCTTGGCCTTCTGAAATATCAACTCACTACCAATTCCCCAGGAGTCTTTCCTCCCTCCACTAGAATGAAATATCACCAATCCCTGAGTCTAGGCTCCTCTATCCCTCTCCCTCACATTTGGTCCTGATAGATCCAGAAAAGAACCCTATAAAAATCTAATCGACCTCGCTGGTCTAGGCAAAGGGTGCTCCATTCCTTCTAAGGTTGAAGTGTGGCAACTAACTCCATCTAGCACCCCAGTAGACTGTCCTGAGTCCATCTTCCCTGTCTCTTCATATTCTAGGTATCGCCTCTTAATAAAGTTGTTATCTTTTGCCTTCTCACACCAAATGTTTATTCATTACCTTCCTAAGTCTACACTGACAATGATAGACAACAAAAATAGTGTGAAAGTGGTTTAAATTCTTGGAGAAAAGTCATAATGTAAATGTTCTTGGCAAATGATCATCTGTATAAAACAAGAAAAGTGTCTCCACACGGCATTAGACCGTTTAACATGAACATCTTCAACAAATTTGTATCTCACACTTCCTGGACTAAAATGAAAATCTGTGAAATGTTTGAGTCCACACTATTTAGAATGGAGTGAAGTGTTAACTAGTATTATGTTGGATAGAGAAGTCAGGCTAAAATTTTAAAATACCATTACATTAATCCAAAGGTTAATAATTCTTAATTAACCACATACAAAGCAGTTGTACTGCATCCCAGGTTATTCAAGAGGGAGTAAATGGAATATACAAATTTGTTGTTGTTTAGTCATTTCAGTCGTGTCTGACTCTTCGTGACCCCATTTGGGCTTTTCTTGGCAAAGATACTAGAGTGGTTTGACGTCTCCTTCTCCAGCTCATTTTACAGATGAGAGAACTGAGGAAAACAGGATTAAGTGACTTGCCCAGGGTCACACAGCCCTTCCTGACTCCAAGCCCAGCACTCTTATCCACTGCACCACCTAGCTGCACCACACTACCTTATACCTAATATAATACCTCTGGTATTGTACTGACACTTCTATATTATTATTTCCCTTTCATAAGTATCTGTTCAATTAGGTTGTAAGATACGTTATGGTAATCTCAACATGTCTATTATTTTATACAAATTTTACCTGCCAGTAGTTACATTAAACCATACTAAATAAACAAATAAGAAAATTTTTATCTCTTTGTATTCACACTGTTAATGTCTAATCTCATATGTTTGTGTATATATATTACATGTATATATTATATACACACACACATATATACACACACACACCACACGTATATAATTCATAGCACATAATATATGTACACACACATGCATAGTGGTGGCAGTTAACTTATGTGAATACACTACAATAGTAAATCAAATTCCCAAAGGCTTTAAAATTTGGTGGAAAAGGTAACAGAAGCAAAAGGTCAATAAAACCACAAACAGTATATTTAAGGACCATGCTACAAAGAATCTGAAGCGGCTGATTCAGAGGAGCCTCCCAATGATTTATTACTGCTAAACTATAAAATTACAGAGAATGACATCTAAATGATATTCATATGACAGTCCTGAGAGGAGTTTTGTACCAATAAGAGAAAAAGATTTTTTCAAAATGTTTTTAGCTCACTGCTCCCGAACACAAGAACTCTTTGTCAATTAAAAGTCTTCTTATTGCTCCCCACATTCAAATCGTTTTCATCTCAGTTTCACATTTCATGTCCCTCCCTTTTTAAAGATACTTTCCACTCAGTAGTCTAGTGCTACTCCCATTCTCTCCATAAAACTATACACATTACCTCCTTGTAGATCTGACTCACAATTCAGAGTTCTCTGTGAAAGTATGAATATAGCCTCGCTTTTTATTAAAAAAAAATAGCTTTGTAATTTGTCAATACTTAACATGAGATATGATTAACAAAAGATAGGCTCCTATGTGATTGATATTTGTTTTCTGATACTTATCATGTTTCCCTAACAATGTGGTCTATTATTTCATAAGTGATATACACTTCCTTAATTCTGGCCCAAAATGGAGGAATGGAATTCCTCTATGCTTAAAGGTGGTAGACTATAGGTATAGAATTAGTCATATGCTTCCACATCCCACCACTGCATCAATTTGTTACAAAAGCACAGGGAGGGATTGGGAAGAAACTTAAAATTAAAAAAAAAAGGTACAGAATTTAATGCCACCCAAGGGGCCATCTACCATTATACAACAAACTCCCGCCCCCCCCCAATGTTCAATGGAATGCCCAATGCCATAATTCAAATAATCACTATTGTGTTTCTCCTCATTAGGGGAAAATATATGTCTCAATAAGGTTAACTCCTTTACATATCACTGCAATCACAATGAAAATGAAGCGGGCAACTGGAAAGTAACTTAAATGTTTTTTATATTCAAAAAGACATATAAAAACTGATAGAATTTTAAGAGCAAAGAGCCTAGTGGTTACAACATGCTTTTTAAGTTTTGTACAGTACACAACATAACCAAATAAAAACAATGGTATATATGCATATGCATACATAATCACTCCTTGTGATTTGGGAGGGCGGGGAGGGGGGGGGGGGGGGGGTTGTTTGTTTTTTGGCTAGGCAGTGATTTGCCCAGGGTCACATAGCTAATAAGTTTTATGCGTCTGAGGCCAGATTTGAACGCAGGTCCTCCTGATTCCAAGGCCGGTGCTTTATCCATTGTGTCTGTGTGATTTTTGAAACCAATATACAATATTCAAATTTACTGCTAAGAGGAAAGACATAGTGAAGTAGAATTCTTTCAAAAAAATGTATAGGGGGGCAGCTAGGTGGCACAGTGGATAGAGCACCAGCCTTGAAGTCAGGAGGACTTGAGTTCAAATCCGGCCTTAGACCAAAACACTTGACACTTACTAGCTGTCACTTAACCCCAATTGCCTAAAAAACCCCAATTGCCTAAAAAACAAAATGTATAGGGACTAGCCTTTCTGACATTAAATTCTGTATTTTCAAGATACATACATGTAACTCAACTGCACTACATAAGATGGAACATTTGACCTACTCAAGTGTATTGAACTGCCTCTTGGCAAGCTCTTTGGATCTAATCCTTTGGGATTTTTTTTCCCCTCAGTGTGGTGATTTGTGTGAGCACCAGCAATATTTCCAGAAGAAACCTAAACTGTACTGCCAAAGATTATAGGCTCATTGATGCACAGGCTGTTTTCCTCACTACCATCCACGGAAGGCAAGAGATGCAAAACAGAAAAAGTGACTGGGCAAGTGAACAGTTGGAGATAGTGAAATCTGACCAAGGGATTTGGATTTCTTGACTATTAGGCAGCATACAAAGATGATAGGTTCCTGCCCAGGCATGGAATATGCCTTAAGAAGTTGCTAAGACTATAATTGTCAGTTGGCTGGCAAATTTAATCAAAAGGGCCTTAAATTTTAAAAGGTGAGGGAAGAAGAAGACTTCGTATATATATCCACCCACTAAATACCCACAGACAGTAGCAGATTTGGTTTTGGCCAAGATGGTGGAGTACACAGTAGCAGCTATAAGCAAGCAGGCCAGCAAGGATTCAAAAAAAGCCTCAGATTGAGCAACAATCTAACGAGAACCTGGAGTAAGGACTTTCAGATACCACAACTCCACACAAAGAGACATGCAGAAGTCTGTGAGCACCACACAAGGGATCCAGTCAGAAAAATGTCAAGCCAGGAGTTTAGTGCTATACTGTATGGAAGCTATAGCCTGTGAACCAGAGGCAAGCTATGATCACATGAATCCTGAAGTGGTGATGTGCTGATTCTACGAATACGGAGTCATTAAAGCTCACAAAAGGATATCTGAAAAAGGGAAAGATAACGAAAGATAAGGGGAAAAAATCAAGGACTTTATTTCTACTCAGAACAGGTGATAGAGAATAATCAACCCATGTGTCTCTTTCCTTCTCCTGCCCAACCATTATGAGAAGGATCTACATATTTATCAAGGACATTATTGATGAAAACATGAGGAGAGAAAGAAGACTTCACAAATGATGGCCTTTACAACCCTGCATAGTTGGAAATGGTACAGCATAAAGGGTGGGTAGACCCTGCCCTGAAGAATTTATGAAATAATATGGTTTTGAGTAACCCAGGATGAATAGTAAATATGCTACAATTTAGACCACAGCAAGAAGTATTCATAAAATGAGATTACAGATTTGTTGAAAAGTAAAAATTTGACCGTAGTTCTAAATGAGTTTGTGACAAAAGTGCATAAGAAGTCAAGTTAAGAAAGAAATGTCAGGGAAAGTCAATCATAAACTGCTTCCTAGAGAAGTTAGTTTTTAGGTGGTGTCTAGAAGGGAAATGGGTTAGTGGAATGAATGGAGAAAAGGATATTATAGCTATAGTAAATATTGTTGATCAACACACGAAGGAAAAACAAAGCCATTTGAAAAATACAGCAAACTGATTACTTTGACTTCAACAAAAAGTCCTAAAGTAATGTTAAATAGTATAACAAACAAGAAGATAATTGAAATAGATTCCTAAACAATAGGTTCAGAATGATAGAATATGCAAAAACTCTAGGTTCTTGAGCAGGAGAATGACCTAATAAAAGAAAATTCATACTATCAGTTCTTTCTAGCACAAATGCTCTCTTATCATAATGTGAGAAAAGCCAGAGGAAAGGGCTCTGAAATGAAGAAAGCAGCTGTCCAGAAAGACTAAGAAGTACATTAAAAAAAAAAAAGATATACTTGCCTTTTCAGGTCAATTCTAGCTCCTTTCAAATTGATTAATCAACATAATAAATAGAAAGAAAACCCTGTCTCATATGCTACTCAATAAAACAAAAGATTTTTCACAATCACATTTACCTTTCTTGAAATAGAGATGTCAAAAAATGGCTTGTGCCTAACACTAAATGGTTCTTGTGTTTTGTCAATGAGTCCATTCTTCATTTTTTCATGCCGAGGATTTATTATTTCTTTTTCAATACACTGCAATCGAGTGTTGAAATCACAATTTCCAACTGGCTGTGCCTGACAAAGAGAATCAAATGAAACAATGACTTAAATTTCAATGTTTCCAAATATGTTACCACAATAATTATCAAAAATGATTTCTAAAATTATCAAAAAACCAAATATATGAAATTGAAAAGAAAGCAAACACACAAATAATGAAACATTCACCAGGGATGCTACACTGGTCTAGTCTTTTAATGGATAATAGTGAAACCATCACATCAGTGCCCAAGTACAATATTAACAAGTGAAATATACTTAGAATAATTAAACAAAAAAATATATACACAGAAGAAATCCACATTACAGGCAATAATTGTAAATGACTGAGAAATTAATTTTTAAGAAAGCTCGAAAATGTTTTGGAATAAAAAAAGAGATAGTGCTATCACACAGAAAATGATCATGTCACTTGAATGTTAGAAGTCACAGGCTTAAATGGTCACAGATATGCCATAAAAATTAGAAGATAAAGTACATTTCACAGCAACGACTAAAGAGTAAGCTCTTACACTAGGGATAGAGAAGATTAAAAATGATAAAATAGATAAGTTTGATTACATGCAATTTTAAAACATCTTAATGAACAAAATTAACACTGCTAGGTTAACAGGGGAGGGAGAGAAGAGGAGAGGAATCCACATATCAAATAATAAGACCCTGATAACCAACATGTAAGGAGCTAACAGAAATATATAAGACCAAACAGCATTCCCTAACAGATAAGCGGCCAAAGGATATGGACAAACCATTAACAAAAGAATTATAAACTATTAGCAACAATGAGAACGAATGTTCCAAATCACTAAAAAGGAAATGCAAGTTAAAATAACTCCATTCACATCCAGCATACTGGGTTGAGCCTTAACTTAAGTCAAGTGGCCCTGTGAAATACATTGGCTCTGTGATCTACAGTTGTTTGTGTGATCCTAAACAAGCTAACATCTCAATGACCACAAGCAATTGCCCAAGACTATAAATTACAGAACAACTGACAGCTAGCATTAGAAGAAGGAACTTACTTATAGGAAGATCTCTATATCAATGAAATCTTAGATCCAGACTAAAAAAATGCAGTCCTATGCTAAGGCTCCATGTGGTTCAGAGATAGATAAAGAGTAAGCATTTTATTAAAAAGAGTTGCTTTATATGCACTGATGATGCATGGTTCTGCTTTTCCCTGTCTGCTGTACTAAAATCACAAATGCATCATCATCAAGAAAGAAAAGTTCCTTATAAACCCTAATATTTAAAGCAACACTATTTTGTAGTAGCAAAGAACTGGAAACAAAGAAGCCTGATTTAGGGAATGGTTAAATAAATTGTAACATATAAGCATAATGCATAACAACAACAACATTTAAATAGCACTTTAGGGTTTAAAGTGTTCTACAAAAAATAGCTCCTTTGATCTTCACAATAAACTTGGGAGGCAGATGCTATTATTATCACCATTTTACAGATGAGGATACGGAGGAATAGAAAAGCTAAATGACTTGCCCAGGATCACACAGCTAGTAAGTGTTTGAGGCTGGATTTGAACTCAAGTATTACTAATTCCAGGTCCTATGGCTCTCTCAACTTTGCCACCTCACTGCCTCATAATAATAGCTACTATTTATATGGGACTTTAAGTTTTGTTAAGTGTTTTATGTATGTTATCCCATTTGACCTTCACAATAAATCTGTGAGGTAGGTCACATTATAGCACTATTTTACAGACAAGGAAAGTGAGGCATAGAGCAATTAAGAAACATTGTCAATGTCAAACATCTAGTTAATGTCTGCGGCAGGATTTGAACTCAAATCATCCTGATTTCATGTCAGGAGATCTAGAATGAATTCTGACAGCAAGTAATTTTATCTCTCTGGACCTCAAGTTCCTTATCTATAAAATGAGATGCATGAGGGAAGAAGTTAATATTGCCAAGAGAGAAGAAGCAAAGCTTGGCTCCTCCCTATCCCTTCTCTACACAATAATCCAAAAAAGGCACCAGAATGGATAGTGATCAGGAAAGCCAAGAAAAAGTCACAGTGAGTCATTTTTGTAGCCTGGGGAAGCTTAAACCGACAGAGAAGTCTAAGGGCACTGGGGTCAGAGTCTGGCCAGAGCATTTTTGGCAGGGAACATTCCAGTCCTTCGTGACTAAAAGAAGGCTTAGGCCAAGCAAGAGGGAAGAAAGAGATATCAAGGAATCCCTGAACTTGCCTGTAGGAACAGGTGCCATCTGACAGCTCTGTCACCCACTACTCGTTTCCAGGTGACAGATCCAGGATGGAGAGTAGTGATCCTAGCTGGGTATTGAGCAAAAATAAGTTCCAGATACAAAAATGTGCTGCCCAGATACCAAGACCAAAGAGGGAAATCTCATTGAGTCTTCAGGCCAACATCTAAGCCTGCAGTGGGATAATCAAGACAGAAGTCCGAGACCAAAGCAAAGTAAGCAGTTTAGTCATTCTGCACCTATGAAGCTTAACAGGCACTAAGTCCAACAGCAGTTTACTAAAACTCCCAAGTAAAGACAAGCTAACAGACCTCAATCTGGGTCTGGTACTTGCAAAACCAAGACCAGGAGGGCAATGAACAGACTTATTCCTGGATCATACCACACTGGGAGCACTGAAAACTTGGAGACTCCCCCAGACTGAGCAATAAAAGCAGCAGCAGCAGGACATGAAAAAACAGAAGCTCAGGCCAGAGATCCTCTCTAAAAGTGTGCAAAGCCTAACACCAACATAACTTCTGAAGTCAAGAGTTAGTCTACAAGAATGAGCAAGCAAACAAACAAACAAAAAGACTCCCGCTATAAAAACTTATTACAGCAACAGGGAAGCTCAATACCCAAACATAGATGAAAAGATTGACTCAAAAACAGGTACAAGCAAAGCCGCAAGGAAAAATGCAGAATTTCTAGAATTTCGAGCAAGATTGTTTTCAAAAACAGTTAAAATGGTTTTTCTTTTAATACATTTTATTTTATTAAATATTTCCAAATTATATACAAATTTTTTAACATTCTTTTTTTTTTAATTTTGAGTTCCAGATTTTTTTCCATTTCTCATCCTTCTTACCAACTTGAGAAGGCAAGCAATTTGAAATGAAATACACGTGTGAAATGCAAAATATATTTTCATATTAGCCATGTTGTAAAAGGAAACACAGACAAAAATGAAAAAGAAAGTTTAAAAAATATGTTTTGATCTGCATCCAGAGTTCATCAGTTCTTTCTCTAGAAGTGGACAGTATTTTTCATCATGCATCCTTTGGAGTTGTCTTGGATCATTGTTTTCATCAGAGTATCTAAGTCTTTCACAATTGATCAGTCTTACAATGCTGTTGTTACTTTGTACAATGTTCTCCTGGTTTTGCTCACTTCATTTTGCATGAGTTCACATAAGTCTTTCCACGTTTTTCTGAAACTATCCTGTTCATCACTTCTTTTAGCACAAGAGTATTCTATAAAAATTAGATACCGTAGCTTGTTTAGCCATTCCCCAAATGATGAGCATCCCCTCAATTTCCAGTATCTTGCCAATACAAGAAGGGCTGCTATAAATATTACTGTACAAATAGGTCTTGCTCCCATTTCTTTGGGATACAAACCAAGTGATGGTATTGCTGGGTCAAAGGATATACATAGTTTTATATTCTTTGGGCACAGTTCCAAATTATTCCTCGGAATGGCTGAACTAGTTCACAACTCCACCAATAGTGCATTAGTGTCCCTATTTTTCCACAATAAATTCACTCTTATCATTTTCCTTTCCTGTCATGTTAGTCAATCTGATAGGTGTGAGGTGGTATCTCAAAGTTGTTTTAATTTGCATTTTCTAATCAGTAGTGATTTACAGCATTTTTTTTCATATGACTATTGACAGCTTCGATTTCTTTTTCTGAAAGCTCCTTGTTCACATCCTCGGACCATTTATCAACCGGAGAATGGCTCTTATTTTTATAAATCTGGTTCAGTTCCATATATATTTGAGAAATTAGGTCTTTATCATAGAAACTTGCAGTAAATTTTTTTCATAATTTTGCCTGAATTTGTTTTTTTTATACAAAAGTTTTTTTTTTTAATTTCATGTAATCAAAATCATCCATTTTACTTCCTGTGATCCTCTCTATATCTTGTTTAGTCAAAAACTCTCCTCTTATTCACAGATCTGTAAGGTACCTTTTTCCATACTCCAGTAACTTACTTATGATATCATCCTTTATATTTAAATTACTTCCCTTTATTTTGCCCTTATCTTGATATGGTAGATGTTGGTCTATACCTACTTTCTGCCAAACTGCTTTCTAGTTTTGTCATATATTTGAGTACTTATCCCAAAAGTCTATACCAGGAGTGGGGAACCTATGGCCTCGAGGTCGTACATGGTCTTCTAGTTCTATGGATGTGGTTTTTTTGACTGAGTCCAAGTTTTACAGAACAAATCTTTTTATTAAGAGAATTTCTTCTGTGAAGTTTGCATTTAGTCAAAGGGCTAAACCTGAGGCCACAGGTTCCCCACCCCTGGTCTAGACTGCAGGATTTAACAAACACTATTTTACTATGGTGATTTGCTATTTTGTATTGTGTACCTAATCCATTCCACTGACCTACCACTGCATTTTTTAACCAGTACCAGATTGTTTTCATATTTAATGTTTTGCAACATACTTTGAAACCTAGTACTGCTAGGCCATCTACCTTCACATTTTTTTTTCACGGATTCCCTTGATATTCTTGACCTTTTGTTCTTCCAGATGAATTTTGTTATGATTTTTTTCGAGCTCTACAAAATTTGTTGGTAGTTTGACTGGTATGGCATTAAATAAGTAAATTAACCTAAGCAGAAAAGTCATTTTTATCATATTGGCTTGGCCTATGTATAAACAATTAATATTTCTCCAATTATTTAGATCTGTCTTTATTTGTATGAAAATGTTTTATAATTGTGTTCATATAGTCCCTGGGTTTGTTTTGGCAGTTAGACTCCCAAGTTATTGTATGTTGTCTTCCATTATTTTA